GGGTGTGTTAATCTAAATAATTACCCTTCTGAGCGTTACTCAGGAGGGTAACCTTGACAACATATGTCAAGCCCAAGGTTATTGGAGGTGGGTGTGTTAATCTAAATAATTACCCGAAAATGTTCCCTGAATTGATCGTCCGTGTATGTTGGAATTGTTAATTCAAAATATTCCTCGTTTCGAAGCTTTGCAGCTCGACGTTGTCTAACATGAAGATCATTCTCAGGCAACGGTTGAATAAGATTATCAACAATATTACGAACGATATTAATATTTAGGCTATCATCAGACACGAATTGTAAAAAAATATTTATATTGTTCATATTTGACATACACATACACGTGTTGATCAGAAATTAGGTTAAGTTAGGTTGTATCGTGGTAGATTGTATCGAGCGCTCACTCAACAACGTATTCACCAGAAAAGAGCGCTAGTAGAGGTAGCGATCCCTCAACTGTTGTGTGCGCTGAATGCGGCCAATGTAATACAACGTTATAAATACCTCTTTGGGACCAACAAAAATGTCAACAAGCCGAACGATCGACAGTAAACGTTATTTTATATCGTTAATGCGTGAACATAACGATTACTGGTACCTTGACGATTACTGGGCCAACCACCTTACGCGTTATTCGTAAACACTGCGAATTTTTCAATGTCACACCGACTTTGCACTAACACATGTACAAAAATTCTCTGATTGGTGGTTATAAAAACATGTTGGAAGCGCAGTACGGATCAGCGTGAACGCGAAACAAAAGAGCGAGTGGCCCTACAGGTTATACTGTAATAAGAGGGTGCGTTTTGTTTCTTGCATGACGTGCAAGAGTGTCTAGTGCAAAACATGAAGTGTAGAGCTCGTTCCGTTTCTGAAATATACTTCATGCTTGGATCATGCACCTCTAGTAACGGAACAGTTATCATGGAGTTTGTGTTGTTACTTGTTAATATTGTAGAACTTAGACACATGGAAGGGGAAAAGAAGCCGCAACTTGTGTCCAAGAAGTGAGACAAAGAAACTATTTTCTATCTCGTTTATCTGTCTTTCTATCATTCTATCTCGTTCTATGACTTTTCCTCGAACTGCACATGAGTGGCCAAGGCAAGATTGTATTTGTAGATTGCGTATGTATATTGTGCACGTATATTGTGCATTTACGTGTGCGTACGATTTATCGCATGCGCATAACGGACCAAAGCCAACTTCTATCTATCCTTGTCACACAAATGTTGGACACAGTTTCAGCTCACGGAAAGTATACGGTATTCCCCTTCCATGTTTATAAGTTCTATGGTTAATATGCACCCAAAAAAAAGTATTCTATTTTTGAGTGGTTCCCTCTTGATTTTAAAGGATTTTCCTATGAAATACGATCTCAAGAAGATACTCTAAAATCTAGAGGAATATCCTATATAACTCTGAGGCATGAAATTTAAACTCCCAATCCTCTTAATGCTAGAGGAATCTTTTCTTCTTGTAATATGATAATATTCTTATTTTTAGTATTTATATAACTTTTTAAAAGAATTATGTTCTACTTTTAATCTTATAAAGTATTATAACCTTCTAACATCTTAAATATTCCTACATTTGTCGTAGTCGCACGACGCAAGCATCGCAACGAGAGATTCAGTCAACTGCATTGACTGAGTTCCTCGTTGCACAGCTTGCGAAGTACGATGCGATTAACGTAGAATAGACTTTACAGTTCTGTATCCAAAAAGCTATCAGCAAAAACGAACTCACTCGCAAACGTGGGCCAGTAGTCACTTAAATAGGCTTTCTCCAGAAATTTTTGTACCTCGTTCATGCCGAAGAGTTACCAAACTTTTACCAAATTGACTGCACTACACTACACTGTCTGTATGTTACACGTGTTTCACAGCTCGCTACAAACAGGGCAACTGACACTGCCCTGTGTGTCGCGAACAAATAACAAGCGCACGTGCTGCGATTCGCGTATCCGCGAATATCTTGCGTATCCTTTTATTTTAAGAGGCTAGTCGTATTACTGTAATGGAATTTTCTATAAAAGAATTTATTCTTAATTATAACCCACACAGCAAAACAAGTTTCAGAAAGCTTTCCGAAAGATAACTTGGAAATTAATATTGAAATGTAAAATTGAAATTATTCAGAAATATCTTTGAAACGTTTCATCAAAATCACATGTCATTGAAAGCTTTCCAAAAGATACCTTGGAAATTAATATTGAAATGTAACATTGAAATCATTCAGAAATATTTCTGAAACTTTTTATCGAAATCATTTATGATCCTTCTCACTGAAATATTTCAGAAATATTACAAAACATTTCAGAGAAATATTTCGTACGTAATCTTCAAAACATATGTTATTGAAAGCTATCCAACATATAACTTGGAAATTAATAGTGAAATGTAAGATAGAAATCATTCAGAAATATTTCTCTGAAATGTTTCTATTTTTCTATTTCTATAAATGTTTCTATTTCTCAGAAATATTACGAAACATTTCAGAGAAATATTTCGTACGTAATCTCTAAAACCTATATTATTGAAAGCTATCCAACATATAACTTGAAAATTAATATTGAAATGTAATATAGAAATCATTCAGAAATATTTCTGAAGCATTTAAGAGATATTTCCGAAGCATTTCAGAAATATTTCAGAAACATTTATGATATCTCATCTACGCGGACATTTTATGTATCTGAAACATGTCTGAAATATTTTTTTTAAAGGTTTCATATTTCATTGACAGCTTTTTGAGAGCTTTCTGAAGCATTTCGGTGCTGTGTGGGAAATTATGAGTCTACTCTTTTAGAGATGAATATGTGTTAAAGTAAGTGAGAAATGCTTCATATAAGATTTCTTGCTTAGAGGAAATGCTTAGAGGATTCCCGCTTATGAATAGAATATTTTTTTTGGGTGTGGACGATATGGACGATTTAAGGTTACCCAAATCGCAATTAATTGCAGTAATATCTGTTTCTTCTGTCATAATAAAAGACAAAGACTCGTGTTTTTCAAGTAGCAGTAGTGATGAAAGTAACTGTTCAAGTGATGAAGAGGAAACTGAAATTTCAACTTTCCCATACAGTACAGAGAGATTGCAGGAACATTGCAGAATGATATCATTGAAACATTGCAATATTGCATATTGATTGCGAAATGTTGCGGCAACACTGCTGCAAGATTGCAGCAATATTCCCACACAGCACTAGATGTCCCATGGATATACATTTTAAGTCCCATTTACGTCCATACGTCCCGGGACTTCAATGGAACTTAAATAGGATATCCTTTTTTGATATAATAGAGATATCCTCATAATATATCCTTTGGACATCCAAGTTGAAATTCATTATCTTGAATTTTTAATATATCATTACGACGTTTATAAACATATTAATTTTTTTTATTATTGAATTGTCGTTACCTACTTTAAAGAAATCGAATATATTTCTTATTACAAAAATATTTTATCAATATTAAAGTTGTACCTAAATTATATATAATAAAGTTTTTACAGATATTTTAAATGCTTAATGTTGGAGAGAAAGAGCGAGAGGGAGAGAGAAAGTCAGAAGCGAGAATTATGTGTGATGAAAATTCTTACGTGTTACTGTCAAATAAAAAGATATTTGGATAAAAACAAATTTTAGACAGTTTTAGGGCCCTTATGAAATACATAAAAAATTATCTTTTTTCTTTGATAAGTAACCTGTTTATTGACTGTCAAGGAAAAAAGATAATTTTTGGCATATTTTACAAGTGTACTAAAACTACAATGTTTTCATCCAAGTATCTTTTTATTTGACAGTAACGCAAAAATTTTCATCATATATGAAATCTCGCTTCTGACGTCACAGTTCAACGTCGCGGGAGGGGGAAGTATTAAAAAGCATTTAGAAATCCATTGGATGTCGCATGGATATTGTTGGGATCGATTTTATTGTATATAATTACGTCTTTAGGATGTTCTTAAGGATGTATTGGACGTACAATCTTAGACAAAAGTGCATGAAATTGGAAATACTTAAATATCTACTCTTAACGCATAGTAAATCTAGATGTAAGAAACTTGAACGATAGTTGAAGTCTTATTTGTATTCCTACAAATATATTTTTCACTTTACAAATGTCTTTTCCTGAATTATTTGCGATTTTTTCACTTATGAGCCTAAACTTTTGATAGTGAAAATACTCTGATTTCAATTCTTAATAACGTCAAATATTTTCAAAACTAAAAAATTCGTGCCGACAGCACGAATATCTCAAGTTATATTTTATTACATTTTATTTCTTTAAAACGATGTAGTAAAGACTATTGAACTTGGTAGATATTTTCATCTATTCGTATAATAGATGTATAAAAAAATTCAAAACACGTACTGGTACTATTTCTTCTACATTTTTTTAGCTGTTTTATCCGTGAAGATCGGCTTTTCCCATAAGAGTACGTGTAAAATCAGTGTAAATTAAAATAGTTATATCTCAGCAACCGTTTAGTGGATGCATTTTTACTTTTCTGCAATAAATTAGAAATTCTGAAAGAACAATTTCACAAATTTTTAGCGAGTTGTACTATTTTGAAGATAGGTCCGATACATCCTTAAGATGTCCGGGTTTGGATCGCGTATAGAGATCTTATAAGCGGACATAGGGACGTCCTCAGTATATCCTTAGTATGTTCTACCGATTTTCACAGATATACCCGGGATGTTTGAAAATCCCTTTAGGTATATCCGGTGGACATACTTGGGATCAACTTTTGCTGTGTGGGGTATATGTGCTACTTAGGTACATAAACCCATGTTAATAATATGAGATACCATTTTGATTAACAATGTTGATACAGGATCGTGTGAGGGACGAAGTGGATACTGCTTTACAAGGACACGGGGAGAAATTTACTATGAAATTATTACAAGATTTACCATATTTAGAGAGATGCATAAAAGAAGGGTTGCGTTTATATCCCAGTGTAAACCATATATCTCGAATTGCTGGTGAAGACGTAAAATTACGTATGCATCTAACCATTTTTTCTATACATTTTAAAATATAGTAAATAATACACACATCACGCAAATGACTTAAATAGAGGAAAGTCCCCTATTATGAGATAGGTTCCTAATATAAGATAGCGGGGTTTCTGCTAACTTAATAGGCATTATTTGTTGATCCCACCGTGAATTTATTAACCTTAAAGTGAAATTTGTGTAGTGGAAAATTCATTGTTAGATCATGTAATCAATGCGAAAAAAGATTTGTGATTAAATGTGTATGTTAAAAATCTGCTAGCTCATATTACAAGCCTATCGCATAACAGGGGACTTTCCTCTATACATATATAAAATGCAATGTTTCTATTATTAATATCTAAAATTTTGACATTTCTCTACATTATTATTGATAAATTTATTTGTACAATATGCAAAGCAATGTACATATAATACAACAATACGAGTACAGTAATTATGCAACATCTATGGAAAATAATATTAAGCAACTTAGTCTTAATATTATAAAAATTGAAATAATTATTAAATTATATTTTCTTATCATGCGTACCATAAGCATTTACTTCTATGTCGTATTACATGGATACCCAATTTTTTAATTTTAATAATTTTCCTACTATTATTTGTAAATCTTGTGGTATTGTATGTTTTCTAGAGTCATATTTGGTGCCTGCTGGAACACTTCTGTATCTTAATATTTACTCAGTCCATAGAGATCCCAATTTTTGGCCAAATCCGGAAGTGTTCGATCCTGACAGATTTTTGCATGAGAGGATCCGAAATCGTCATCCTTATTCGTATATACCATTCAGTGCTGGACCACGAAATTGCATCGGTAAGATACACGTTTTTTTAAATCCTGATATACCCCTGCTATATAAAGAATTTATAATACGTTATGATACCACTTCGTAGGCCAACGATTTGCTATGCTGGAAATGAAGGCGATGATAGCTCCTCTGATACATAATTTCTACTTAGAGCCTATTGATTATTTAAAAAATGTTCGCATAAACGTTGATATTCTTCTTCGACCATCTCATCCACTTCGTGTGAAATTCATTCGTAAAACGAATGCAAGCTTTTAAAACACTGATTTTATGAATATTGTAGGTGGCAAAGGGAAAGCTCTATATTTGCATACAAAACTATTACCGATAGCGTCATAATAGAAACTCTTTATACACGTGTCATAATATATCAAAATAAAATAAAAATTTTAATAAAATGTTTGGAAAACAATCAGGTTAGCGTGCAATGCGGAAGGGGGGGGGGGGGCATAACATCATTAGATAGTTTATTGCCACAAATATTGTATTACCACATGGCTCAGTGGTCGAATTAGTGAAACAACCGTCTAGAGAGGAGGTCCAAGTTCAAACTCTGGGTGAGATAATGTTTTTCGTAATAAATTTATAATAAATAATTTATTGCGATTTCAGAGAAGAAACATTTCAGAGAAATATTTCATACGAAATCTCTAAAACATATATTATTGAAAGCTATCCTAAATATAACTTGAAAATTAATATTGAAATGTAATATAGAAATCATTTAGAAATATTTCTGGAACGTTTCATCAAAATTATAATAAATAATAAAAAAATAAAATTATTCATACACTACCTTCATATTACTTCAAATTTATGTTTAACACATCCGAGCTTTATGTATTTCACATAAAGTGAAAAATGTAGTAAATATAAAATATATGTATAATAACGATATGATTATTAATAATGAATCAATAATGATATGTATATGTACAATAAAATTCCTATTGTTTTATTATAATCTTATACATGTCATGTGATTATGTTTGCAATATACAAGGTGAATATTAGTGGATGCACCAACCTTTATTATAACCATAGGAGATGAATTACCCAGATAGCAAATGGACGTCCATAGGATGTCCGATGGACGGCCGCATCTGGACAATCGGACGTAGTAGTAGCAGTAGCAGTAGCAGTAGCAGTAGCATAAAATCCATGAAATATACATACATAATAATAATAATAACTTCCTAGCCAAAACATCAACAGGGAAGAGCGCTTAGCGCTTCTGTTTGGGAAATTCCCTCACATTCGAATCTCGTCATGAGATTGAATGATCTCGAAATCTCCGTGAGCGCTGCGAGTGGATCGGGGGGTGAGGAAGGACGTGCAACGTGGCGAGAGTGACTTCAATACCGTTTCATTAAATGAGTTGACTATTTAATAGTATGTACAATACATTAACATTAATTAATGGTTAAATATAAGAAAATTATTTCTATTTCGATAAATAAAAATATTAGTATTCTAAAAAACCATTAACAAATTAGAATTCACATGAAAAATACCTACATTGTTACATATTCGTTTACAAATAATATAAAATAGATTGAAATTTAAACGCCATATTTTAGGACCTTGGCAAGGTGGTGGCCATTATATTGCTAGGTGAATCCATATACCATATTTTCCTACCCTGTACTGTGCGCCGTTACTATCGGACATATAACACAGATTTTCCCCTAGGTGGGATCATTATCGTCAGTGAATTCACGTGTTCTAAAAATTGATTTTTACCGATTAATTGGTATTTATACACACGCGGCCGAGAGAGCATTTCAAAGTAATATACATGTTATTGCGAATAATATTATCACAGCCTCGGATTGAGGGAGGTCCCAGGTTCGAATCCTGGCTGAGGTAATATTTTTCGCAATAAGAATTTTAATTCAATAGGGAAAAGGGTAAATTTATAATGCTAAGTGTAGCATTAAAATTAAATTAAAATAAATTGCATGCGATTTCTCGCATGTAACGTCATTAAACAAGAACAGCCGCGGCGACTACTCAGGAGCTTTAACACATGAATAAATATATATCTGTTTTCTATAGTTTAAGCGATAATTATTAACTGGTATTTACTGATAACTTTATATGCATATATGTTGCAATGTATTATAAGTTTAATTTGTTGTTAGAAAGTCTTGAAAATTGAAAGCTTTTCTATATTTTGTAATACGAAACATACATGTACATTGTATAACAATATATGTTCGTTTTTATGTGTATGTGAATATAATAATTCTTTGAATATAATAATATAATTCTTTTCTCAATTGTAAATTTGTTCTTTTCTTGCATTTACCACCCACCTAACATTAAAATATTTAAATTAAGTATCCTGATGCAATATACATGTAAAGAACATGAAATGTATATACAAATGTTACCGGAAGAATATACACAGAAGATCCATGGTATATATGTATGTACTATCGATCTTCTCATGTATATCCTGCCGGTAACATTGATTTCATCCGAACACATACATTTCATATTCTTTGCATGTTTATTGCATAAGGATGTATATACTCTGAATATACAATATACACAAATGTACATACACTGTATATACTGAATATATTTAAATGTTATGTGGGATTATCGGTAAAAATACTCGCTTATTATTTAAAAACTATTATAGCCTCGATATTTTTGCATAAAAATTTTTGTCTTAAAATTTTCTGAAGAATCTGTGATTAAAAAAATATCCGGTGGTTTTAGTACACCCTGTATAAAGATATAGCTATACAGGTGTTATGATATGTTATCGACATTAGTCTTTGTCCTCTTGCACTTTTCTCTTCTACACAGAATGTTGTTGAAGTATTTTATTTGCAAGACTGAAGAGATATGACACACCGTTATCGTACAGATAATTGAGTAAACAGGTTTGAAAACCAGTCATCCAACTTTGTAGCAGTTGTAATTGTTTCGATAAGGATAACCATTTTAAACATTAGTGATTTTTATTGACCGTATCTGGCAATTTTAATAATACAGAAAATTTATTGCGAAATATATTAGGTACCTCAGCCAGGATTTGAACCTGGACTTCTCTACACCGTAGGCGGGAGTCTCAACCAATTCGACCACCGAGGCGAAAATTCAATCCCTGGCTGAGATAATATTTTTCGCAATAAATTTTCTGTATTAATAAAATTGCCAGATACGGTTAATAAAAATCACTAATGTTGTCAATCACTGCTGGCGACTTTTACGAATATTCTCATATTAGTAGATAGCTATTTTGCATTGCTGTTTACCTCGAAAAGGGCTGCAATTCAGAAAAACTAATGAACAGTCTGCAGTTACATAGTAGTGATATAATCGGTAATTCGTAAACATTTCATTTAAAAAAGCGAAAATTTGTTGATAATGTACCTACATTGTTAAATAAAAAAACGGAATACATTATAAAACGTCAAAATACTCTCGTCTCGTGGAAGTAAATAACCTTTTTTTATGTATTCCCATCTTCTCAAAATAGTTTCTTCTGCTAACACTGGAAGTATATTGATAAAGAGACTACATCCAACGAAATTAATTTGTAATGGTTCTTAATGTATAGACCATTGTGTTGATTCATGAGATTGAAACTGTTGAGATAAATATTCTAGTTGCGAGTCTTGAGTACAGAAGCGTCAATGATGTTACGTAAGAAAGCCGCAATTGTATACATTGAGTTGTCGGGAAATGCCAAGGTGGCTCCTACATAAACCAACCAAAAATAAAAAAAATTGAAATGTAAGTATATCATAGTTGTTAGTTTTATCTATTAGTATACAAAATTTTAGACCCGGTCGCCGATAAAATAAGAAAAGAATAACATGTTAAAATTGTACCTTTTTACATCCCAGTAAATACGAAGTAACAGTTACGTACTATCAATATGATTTCCTACTGAACGAAGTGCATTATAAAGTGGGGTGAGCGAGAAGGTATAGGAGTGAGCGAGAAGTGCGAGAAGACTTCGCCGTGCTTGCAGTCTACGCCCGGCCGTTAAGTAACATACAACTGCACTGTACAACTGCGACTGTATAAAGTGACCATCCAAAGCCAGGTAATTTTATTGACATACGTACAATAATTATCAGTATCAGTGATTTTTATTGACCGTATATCTGGCAATGTTTATAATACAGAAAATTTATTGCGAAAAATATTACCTCAGCCAGGGTATGAACCTGGACCTCCTTTCTCTCTAGGCGGGCGTCTCAATCAATTCGACCACCGAGGCATATGATAATATTAGTCGCAATAACAGTATATAGATATTGTTTACGCGTCTATTTCGACTTTTTAGAACTACGCGCCGCGCGTTCTTAAAAAATCGCGTATCGACAGTTCTGTGTACGGTCAACAACTCTTATCGGCGCGCAGATACGTAATTATGTCACTTTTTAACTGTAATGTTAAAGTTACAATTTTATTAACGTTTTTTTGTTATAAAGAATATTTTATCTGGTAATGGTACAGGGCTAATTGGGTCAAGCGTTCCAACTAATCTCGCTTATAAAGTGAAAGATCTTTGAAATAAAATGGTGCTTTATTTGGTATTCCTTACTTTTTTAATTATTTTATAGTATGCGCATATTTTACAGTATGCCATAGTTGTCAAGGCTGGGCTCATGCAAAGTGCACCTCTAGTGAAATATATGTTTGCATCAATTGCGGCAGTAATAATGATTAATATGATTTTAATAAAAAAGATTGTTGTTAAAGATTACTTTAGAAATTTATCATTTTTTGTTGAATATCATAAGAATTGAATTTTAAATTTAAGTTTCTCTGACTAAACACAAATTTTCTTCTGGTAAATTTCATTATAATTAATAAATATACAGGGTGCTACGCAAGACTTTGACGTCCGGTCATGGGAAGGTAGAGGGGACTAAGACAAACAGAAAAGTATTGTACTATTTTGCGCTTGGACGAATAGTTATCGAGATACGAAATTTTAAAAATCGCCGTATTAGCCCAACCTACTGGCGAATGTAAGCGCGCGGTGAGAAGCGTCGGCCTAGCGGCCCCGCTCGAGGCGGTGTTCGGCTAGGAATAGAATGGCGGTGCGGGGCGAGGAGTAGGGAG